GATTTGCGAACCGATTTAATGGGTTCATTGAAAAGAGAATCAGTTCGTTCTTGAATCAGACACCGCTTCTGCGTCTCGGAGCACGTGATATATTATACGGAGTACCGATATGTTTTATGAAATGTAGTGAAGTAAAAAGTACGATCTTATGCTTTGGAATGCAGTGAAGTAAAAGTTACTCAAAATAAAACTACTCCAGTAAAGTACAGATACTTGAAAAATGTACTTAAGTACAGTAACGAATTAAAACTACTCCGTTACTGTCTACCACTGTTGAGCAGTGAGTTTGTATTTTTTCCCTCCCAAAAAAATCCCTCATTCAACCAAGGTCGAATGCGATTTGAGTTCTCTTTGATAAAAATATTCCACTATTAGCGCACCTGAGATGGAGAGTGAAAGAAAAGACTGAGTGACATCTCTGAAGAGCAAAGCATTGAGATGATCTCAAAATGAACACAGAAGAATGAGAAGAGGAGGAGAGAGCGAAATGGATATTACCAGCTCTTAAACCTTTTCATTTTTTTTTGACATTTCTACAGCTTCAAGTGTTCAGTCAATCTTTTTGGCCTGGCATGATGCAATGGTAAGAAAGGCCAGCCCCAGGCAGCCCCCAGCATGCCCCGAGAAATGCCTGTTTTGCCAAGCCCTTGCAGTTTGGTCCTTTTAACTTTACCCCTTGAGGGCAAGGAGTGCATTAACACTTCATCTTTGCAGAAAAATAACTGGTGATTATGATAGAAAAGTTAATTGAAATAAATTCATGGCAAGTAATAAGTGTCTGAAACACTAACAGTTAAAAGAGCAGACAGACACTTTAGCTATAAAAAAAGCTTTTCACTTGCAGGTCAGAGGAGTAGGATTGAAGTAGTATTATGATAAATGAAAGAACCTTGAAAAAGCTGAAAAGCATGCTGATAGATATAATACACATATATCTATTCCACTGCAGAAAAAGTTTGATCTTTTCACAGTTAGCCATGATAAAAAAGCATTAAACAAGCCCCTTTTCCTGTTCACAGACAACTGAATTACTACACCATATTCCCATAATGTTGCATAGGCATTCTTGCATTTAAAACACTATAGAGCTCAAATTTGGGCAAAAAATTATTACTCATCCTGCACTACACAGAAGTTTTGTCCAATCAGAAGATTTCTAGAATGAGAATGCCCCACCCCTAATTATAAACAACACCTGCAGCTAAATAGCAAATAGCAGATCATGGTTCACTCACAGCTGTGATGTAAACCTAAACATACTGGCTATCTGTCTGTCTCCCTCACAAAACATTCATTGATAGACTGGCGTTGCTTGATGAACTCTCATTCCGACGGCACCCATTCACTGCAGAGGATCCACTGGTGAGCAAATGTTGTAATGCTACATTCCTGTAAATCTGTTCCGATGAAGAAAGAAGCTCATTTACATCTTGGATAGCCTGAGAGTGAGTCAATTTTCAGCAAATTTTCATTTTTGGGTGGAATATTCCTTAACATATTTCCTGACATCATACACTCAAGTAAAAACATGACCATGACTGCTCATACAA